CAAAGTTTCTACACGTGGTATTGAAATCAAGATGAAAATATTTACCCTAACTTTGTTTCCTACAGTGTATGAGAGCTCACATGGCCTTTGCATAATTCCAACGCTACTTATTGCTCAGGGATAGAATGGTTTATCTCCTGATCACATGCCTCCAGCTGAGCACTTTGGCAAACCGTAATACAGGCTTAGCTCGGAGGTTAAGGCTTCAAGTTAATTAGGAGCTGATCTTCGGAAACATCAGACGCCAGATGCATTTGTTTGGAAGCACTAACCAGTTGCCACTAAAATGGTAAAACAACTTCTGTTAGACGTCTCAACTAGGCTGGCAGTTCAACAAATATTCTGTGGCAGTGGCTGGGGACCTCATGTATGTTGAACCAATGGCTTCCCCCCCCCAGCTATGCTTGGGGTGATCCCTGAGCTTTGCCTGACGAATCACTAGTTTTATAGCATAATTTTTCAATCATGTTTTCTCTTAAAGCATTTCCTTCTGGTCAGGATTTTAATTATACACTTCGTCCACATGAAACTACATGCCAGCGGTTCATGGGCACTCAGTTTGCAAGTGGATTTCAGTTTTACTTGTACTTTCATGGAAGGATTATCAGTCCTCCTAAGCAGGCCATTTGCTGAGGATAAGCTTGATCCTACAGTCGTCTTATTCTCTGATTGCAAGTCCTCATTGCTGCAGTCCCTGTGCAGTCAGCACTTAGTTAAACTTCATAGGCTATGGAAGTGTAAGTATACACAGAAGGGAAAGGGACAGAGAGGTCAGGCGGGAATGGTGGGTGCCCAAGGAACACGGGTTAAGACTCAGCAGTAGTTTCAGCACCTTTAGTGCCTCCAGTCTGTTACAGAAAAGCACATTCTTTTAACCTGCTGAATGGAGGAAGCATAAGTGAAACCATAACACACAAACTGTTATTGCAGTGAGTGCTAAGGCAGCAGTACGAGTCAGTGCAAAGTAGGCCACAGTTGGAAGCATTTACTTTTGCCCTGTTGATACGGGTCCAGTTTTAAATTACTGTAGAAAAATGGCTGTGATTAATAGCAGTGGTGGACTTATCTGAGATATTGTGAAAACATGCTTTCACAACTGTGGTGTTTTGTTTTCGTGTGTGTATGTGTGTATATATGTGTATGTAGCTACTGGAAGACACCTTAAGTGAAGTTTTGGTTCTGCTTTCACAGCAAATTTACTTTTAGAAAAACACAACAATGGCTGTTTATTCAATTTTGTTGTCTAGTTAGGCAAGTTTGACAAAAGATATCATTGTATAAAGAGTGCAAAATATTCCACAGACCTGAATAGTGATATTGATCCAAATCTGCTTATTTTGAATTTTTTGGTTTTTAAAGTGTTTGCATACACTAGTGCTCTTGGAACAGATTCTTGCTTGACCAAAGTACTCCTAATTAGTTTTATGGCATGGTTTATATCTATTCAGCATAAAATTTTGTTAGGTGTAAAAGTGACATGGCATTGATAATTCTGCTTGTTCATTGGGGTTCATGAGAGCTGCCATTTTGATTTGTTTACATGAAAATAGTCTTAATTCTTAGAGATTACTTCACCTGTTCCTCTAGTACCTAGGAAAGTCACTTCTAAACAGAGTTAAAACTTTAACTGGTTGTGTAGAAGTGGAACTATCAGTAAACTAGAGAAAAAAGTGACCCACCTTAATCTACTATTAAAATAAGCAGAACAATGACAGTTTATCTGGAAGCTCCACCATTCTGCAAAATAGCCTTTGTTTGCCATTATTAGTGAACAAGTTGTCCCATTTATACATTGCAGTCTTTAGGCCAGGGCACTACTAATGTGTGTATTTAAGCAAATCCCCAATACTTACAAGTATCATCATGTACTTCACGGAATAAATTTAGAAGGGGGAAAAAAAAGAAATTTTTCCTTCTTTCTGTATTGTTTCCTGTCTTAAATTTGCTAAAAATTTTGTTTATAAGCATTTTAACAATACCTGAAATCCATAGGTTTTTTTTCAGTTTTTAAAATTTGTAAGCAAGCGCAACAATTGTTACTGAACAAATAGGATTTTCCCCACATTTTTCCCCCCCTCTTGCATCAAAGCCACAGAAAGGTGAGTACATCATAAAAGTACTAGATGATTGGAGTATGGTCGCCTTTTTAATAAGCTCATTGGCTTAATAATGGAGAGAAGAAGAGATTGTACACTGCAATTTCATAGTTTTTCTGATTAGAGCTTGAAATGTGGGATCTGAACTCAAGATTTCTGCATTGAATTGTTCATTTCAGGCATGCAGGGGAGAAAGTGGCACTTTCCATCCTCATCTGGAGCTGGTACAGGATAGAATTCCCATAACACAAAACTTTCCAACTTACCTCCTCAGCTTCTCTAAGAGCAATGATTCCTCACGGTCCGTGTTTATAGCTTCAGCAGAAATTGTGGGCTTAACAAGGTAATTTGACTTCCATGATGTTTAATCACTCAAGTGTAAATATAGGTTCCTACAGATGATCCTAAAGTCAGTCCCCCATAAAAAATGGAGGTAATAACACATTTTTCTGGATGAAGAGAGCTCTTTTTTTCAGAAATAAGAAATGGCCTGGAGCAGCTAGAATCCTGTGCCATGGACTGTGGAACTGAAGTCAGTTGTTGGTATTTCCTCTTCCCCTCATTTTAGTTCAAGCCCAAGGTAAGGGGATTACAGTTTACCCTCTATTTGTATTCAACTCAATAAGCTACCTTTGAAACTGTATATAATTGTGGGGGACAGGGGAACATGAAACAACTGTGACAGCTCATTTCTTATTTGTAAGGATGTACAGAACTTACAGGGGGAAGAGAGAGAGAGGAGGCAGGTTTACTGTGACGAGCTGAGAGATGGTCTACCAGAGATTAAATGTTGAAACGTAATTTACAGATTGCAAGCTTTAAAGATAAGGTTATTCTGGGAGGACTGGTGTAGGGCCCAGAATGGCAGTCCTCTCACAGAACCCCAAGCCTTCTGCATAACTTACTTTTCTATTTGGGGGGGGGAGGGAAGTGGGCAGCCCACTTACAACTGAGTTCATACAAGGAAACTTACTAGATGATCCTTAAGGTCCCTTCCAACCCAAACCATTCTATGATTCTATAAACTTGAAATTGTACATGTTCTTTCAGTCTATAGTTTTATTAAGTGCATACTTTTAAATATTGTTTGTCAGTGAGAAGGTTCTATCTGGTGACAAATGTTTATATTTCTTATGGCTGCCTTGTAAAGATTCAAAAATGTACAGTAATGAATTTCTTAATATGAAATAAGGAGTAAGATTTCTACAACTGGTATAGATTTTGATGTGAACTGGTTTTTAAAATCTTATAACAGATTAGTCACTTAAATAAAACCTTCCTTGCTTTAAGCAAACGGTGTCACTGATTTTTCTTACCAGTGATGTGGGAAGTATTAGATTGTCATTGTACATGTCCTAGTAGCCAGTGGAAACAGAATAAGTAGAGGCTGTTTAATAGATCTGACTATCTGAAATAATACTTAGATTGGAGGTTGACTTTTCACAAAACTCCAACCCTCCTTCCTTTTGAAAAGCCTTATAAGAAAATATTTCAGTAATCGGACACCATCTTTGTGAAAGCTTTATAGAAGTAGTTTCAGTACATTGAAAAAATAACTTCAGGCTACTGTTCCATATAGAACAGTGGTTAAAAAAAAAAACAAACAAACCACAACACAAAAACTACGTCAAGAAATAACAAAAGCTAAAGCTCTTAGTTATCTGAAAGCTTGGAAGTCAGGGTTGTTTTCATGTTTCCAGGCCTCATTAATTGTTTCAATATTTTAAAACAGTCTAGTTTGACAAGAAAAAAGAAGAATCGGGAGCAAGTTTAAAATCAATACTTACACATAAATCAGAATTGAATGTGACTGCTTCCCATATTTATACTTAATGCCATTAAAATTTTAGTAGTTCCAGTTTTACTAAATTACATGTGCATCTTAAAAAATATCAAGTTGAGCAGAGTTTGCCAAATCAATCTTTTGTTTGAAGGTTCATCTTAGAGTGAATGTAATCTGAGAAGCCTGCACAAAGGTGCTACTGTGGAAAACAGCCCCGGTGTTGAACTCCGGAAGCTTGAGAAACCTTTGCTTTAGTTTGGCAGACTAAACTTTGTTAAACTGAATCACCTACAAAAAAAGGCTTGTCAAATGAATGTTACTTTTTTTAAAAAGTAATTAGAAGCAAAATACAGGTATAAAATGCTTAGTATACTTCATCAAATAAAATACCTGCACTGTGATATTAGCTAATAACAGTAGTTTTAAGAGGTTACATTAATTGCAGTAATGAATTTCTAGGTATATCTAAAAGCCAGATGTAGTACAAAAGCAACATTTAACTTGACTGCTAAGATGCTACTTAAAGCAGCAGCAAGAAATGACATAAAGTTGCTCTGATTTGTCTGGAACCCAACTACTTCAGATAGGAATTAGTTAGGCTAATCTAATAGCAATCCTTTAGGCCATGAATTAGTTCTAATGCAGCTCCTGTCTTGTGGCATGAGTGACTCCACAGAAACCTGTTGCCTTGGAATGGCGGTTGTGGCAAAACAAAAAAAAGCCACTGCTGTTTCATTAACTTCCAGTTCAGCATGATAGTTTGTTTGTATACAGAAAAAAATTGTTAGGCTTTCAAAATAATGGACCAGTACTTTTAGTATGCAAAGTACTCATACTAAAACCCACGGAAACTGGATACCAGTCTAAATACTGCTGTCACCTGCGATCACCCTTCATAAGTCTGTGGCCCTTGCTCTGGCCATTCCTACTGGTCAGTTCAACATAACTTTCAAAGTACTTACTGCCTTCTGAAAGTCAAATGCAAGGTGGTCCCTCATCTCAGCAGGAGATAATACACTGTGGTACAATTCTGATTCTCTTGTTCACTTGAAAGGAGAAAGCAAGGGAAAGGAAGTCCTGAGCTGCTTTGTCAAGAAAGGTTATAAAATGTAGTGGCTTGTTCAATGTATAGAGTGCACCTGTTCAAGTGCTACACAGAGCTCTCCTTTGTCTGTGCTGATAAACTCATAATAGTTACAGCCATCTCTGTCTAGGTACAAAGTGCTCGATGGAGTCTCTTTGCTTGCCTTCCGATAGCTTGAGAAAGTTTCCGAGATCGACGCGCAGACAGCAAGTTTTGTGCCGTTAGATAGTAATAGTTTGATATTGCGTGTTGCCTGCAGAAGAACAAGACTGCCATTAGCAGCATGAAGTCGGTAAGGTTAATTAACTGGTCGTCACACAAATTGCTGGAAAACTGTTAGATGGGAGCAAGGAAGAGGTCTGGGATCTATATAACAGTTCTAAACACTAGCAAGAAAATATTTTGTTACCTTCAGTGAGCATAAATGGCAGTACACAAATTAAGTACCGCAATACTTTAACTAGCAACAGGAGCATTTCTTGTGATAGAATCTAAGTCATTAAAATGAAAAACATTAGAATACAGGGAGCTGGCAGCTATAAACAGTTTGAGATCAAGGTTTGCTTCATCATGGAAAAGATGAAAAGGGAGCTGTAACACTAAAACTAATGGCAATTGGATACAAGAACAGAAAGTCATATGCAAGACTGTAAGGACACCTCCAGAAAGTTTATTTCACAGTTATTCCAGTAAGCAACCTACAAACCAGCCAGTGACAGAGCACGTTGTATGCATCTACACATGCAGGAGAACTGGACCAGATTGCTTAGTGGAAGCAGTACACATCACTGTTTAAAGCTTCGGTCAGGCATTTGAAACTGCTCTCATTTTTCCTGAAATGTTACAGCAATCAACTTCTTACACCTATCTTTCTTGCTAAAATAGGACATAGTATTCAGGATGTAACTTTCCCTTTAGCAAAAGGAACACTTCCAACATCATGGGTGAAGATATTAATGTCACAGTACAGATCTCAGTGAAGGTAATAGAGGCATTTACCTGGTAATGGTTCAACGAATTGACACTAGAAGTGATGTTTAGAAACTTAGAGCAAAGAATTCCTGTTCCCATCCATTTAGGTACAATTGCTGTGTTTCAAAATGCCAGCAATACAGGTATCAACTGCTGTTATTGTGATAGCATCGTCTTAACTGCTAAGACAATGCTAGGGATGGAAAAGAAAGGCTGTAAAGTTAGACAGCTCAGGGTAATAGTTTGTTCTGTCATGCTTTGTAATCTATTAGTAATCCGTGAGAACTGAGGTCAAGTGACAAAGACATTAGTACCAATAGTTTTCTGGTCCGGGGTGAGAAAAGCTGCTGTTTGCGTAGAAGCCCAACTTGTGGTTCATTGCGAACGCACAAGGTTTCACTAATCCACAATGCGGAGGTGAAGTTTTACAACTGCACAATGATCTCTGTAGCAGACAGCCACAGTGAATATGAGGGAAGAACCCTGTGGTTCCTCACAGTAATACTTTAAAGAAGCATGAGTTAATAAGCCTTTCTCTCACCAGACAGCGGGTTTTCTCCCCACAGATGCATGCAGGTATAGACAAGGTAAGTGAACAACTACTTTACCTGGTTGATACTATCTTCAGTTACGAATGAGAGAAACTGTCATATCACTAATAGATGGGAGAATATTAGGAGTAAGATTTAGTGAACTTTCAATGGATGTGATCATTAACTTAATACAGGATTTAACCTATAGTTACCTAGAAATGGTCCCATTGGTAAAAATTGAATTTTTGGAATTATGTGGGATTTTAAGCCCTTACCTCTTTGTAGATAAAAGTATTTAATGCTAAGCCCTCTCTAGAGGATTTTAGGTGCTTGACATTTAATTATTGAATGCTTGACATGGAGTGTTCTAAGAGAGGAAGAGGTTTAGGGAATTGCCCTGTGACAATACTTCTGACCTTTAGTTTTTTAATTCTAGTCTAATTCAGAATGACATAACCTTTACAAAGACAGCAGCCTACCACCTCATGAATTAACCAATGTGTTGTATAAGAGGCTTCTGCATCCTCTAAATTTTTGAGTTATGGGTACCGTGGACTATTTGTTAACATTAATGCTACCTAATAAAAGGATTTTCTTATAAATGTGCAGGTACCAATGACAGTATCAGTGTAATGGGATTCCTCCCCCACCCCCACCAGCCTGGATTGGCACCGCTTTTAGACAGAGGCAGGGAGGTACTGTTCTCACACAGGGTCAAAGGGAGGCTCTTGCTGGGAAAAATCTGACTTCCACACCAAGAAACCTGAAGACAAGGAGAGCGTTTGACAAGTTTTAGAAGCTGGAAGTCCAACTGCAGATTTAATCTGCACAGGTATCTCGAAGAAAGGCTCTGCTACATTACAGCTGAGAAGGTTCTGCAACTATTCCTCATCCTGAGTCACAGGTATCACTTAGCCTGCAATTTGGCAATGTTCGAGTGAGAGGTAACCTGTTGCTAAAAGTTGAGGGACAGTTAGCGGTATTTACCTCTCCTCTTGCACAATGGCATCATCAAATGCCTGGGAGATGTGCTTCAGTTGGCAAATCCCTGAGGATACCAGCTCCAACTCGCAGTCAAACTCTCTGCAAACAGAATGGTCATTATTAAAGATCAGACAGGACAGACTGACTAGGTGACACTACCCAAGCCTCTATCCCTGCAGTAGCAACTCTAGTTACCTCCAGACTTTACCCAGAGAAGTTTAGGGCTGTAGCAATCATGCTTTTAATTCCACTAACCAACTGCTTCACATCTCCATTCATCCCCAAGACAGCTACCTTGCAATTCAAACACTGGGTTCAGATTCATGAGGCTTGGGATTCAGCTTCCAGCTTTGACATTTCTCATGTGACTTAGACCAAAACAAAAACCTTTTTGTGCATTATGAAGTATTTCCCTAGCTCACAACCCCATCTAATTTGTGTTAAATGTTTGAGGCAAGAATCTCTCTACTTTCTATAAAGAGCTCAGCGTAAGTGGAGCTATTCCAGGTATCTTTGCAATACAAATAGCAACTTTGGAAAAGTTAGAGCTAAGTAGGTGTGAGATGCATTGAGAGCATTTTTCTTTACCAGAAAGGCATCAGCAAAGAACTCGGGTATGTCTCTAGTGTCAGACAGGGACTGGTGCTGAGACACATAGTGTAAATTTACCCAGTGGGAGAGTGATTTTTAAGAAGTTCTTGTCACAGCACAAAATTAAGTTTCATGTTTCAGCTTTATGCAGTGCTCAGTCCCTGTCTATACAGGGACCTGTAACGACTTTCTTGACTATTTGAACAGCACACCCTTTCAGGGGAATGGGATAGCAACCTTCATATCTTGCCTTTCACCTTACAAGATACTCTAATCACAGTAATTAAAAAAAAAAAAAAGGAATAAGGTTTACAGAAGAATGAAAAGAATGTAGCTTACATCTTTCTGCTGGCAGGAGCGGGTGATGAGTAAGGGCTTTTCAGTGCTGCTGCTCTTCTTGATCTCCGGAGAGAGACAGCATCTTTACAAAGCCACGATGAGAAACCCCTCCATTCTCTATGTTCTGACACCCTTGTTGGCCCAAGCAAGGCTCTTTTGCTGGATCTTGGGGTGCCTTTGGAACTGGCTGCTGGAGTAGCACTCTTCTTACAGGAAGGGGTTCGAGGTGTAGTACTTCTTTGCTTGGTAGAACTGGTTGCACAGCTTCTGCTGATGGATTCAGCTGGAAAGGTCACCATCGAGTGTACAGGGCTTTGGCAAGACCTCTGTATTTTCTGAAAGAAGCATCAGACAGACATGTTATGCTAAACGAACTCAGTTAGCCTAGAGTTTGGAACCAGAAAGACAAGGAACAACTGAGCTGAATCCCTAGTTTTTATTCTGATACCAGGTTTATTCTAGCATGAATGCTTCTCAACCCTCTGTAGCCATTTGCGTTGGAGGAATCATTTGCTCCCCCAGTCCTTGGAACTTGTCAGGGACTTCAGCAGGCATTGGAACAGAGCTCCTGCTGCTCTTACACAGAAAAGAGCCAGGCTCCCTAACATGTAATTGATGCAGTTAAAATTGGAGGTCCTCCACCAAAGGGAACTACAAGCTCGAGTTTGCTACCCTGCTACCATCTAGCATTTTTGGTCAGTCCAAATTTAGATTGACTATAATGAAGAACGTGCTAATAAATAGTCTGGGTACAAGAAAAGGAGTTAGAAATAATCCAAAGCGCTACACATTTCTCTGAAACAATTCCTTGCAAGCAATGGCAGTCTCTACCCACCTTCCTCCTTGTGAAGGCTGCTGTGCTATACATGATGAAATGAAGGAGGGGAAAAGCATTTATTTAGTAATAAAATAAAAGTTTTGATGAAACTACGTCTCCATCTTCCTTCTTTTCACCTTCCTCCCTGTTCTGCCAGATCCATCATTTGCCTGTCTATACTTTAGCAAGGATATTAAAGATTTTACTAGTTAGTAGCTATGACACAACCATTACCATGTGCAAGTGCATGGGATAGACTCTCTGCAATACAACATTCTGTACACAGTCCAGAAATCTTAGTGCTGAAGCCGAAGCAAAAACTAAACTCTATCCACGCTCCACTGCAAAGGCAAAGTACCTGGGACACTGTTCCGAAAGCATTTTTTGCTGTTCTTTTAATACTCTGAAGAGTTTGGCACTTCTGTCCCACTTCCAGACTTTCCCAAGTTGGGGTCTTATGAAAATTCAGCTCTACTTGTTTTAATGGCACTCGCTTCCTTAGAGACATGCGGATGGTATTGAGAGAACTCAAAGAAGCCCTTCTCTTGAATTTGTCAGGTACAGGGCTCTCATTCTCATCAAAGTCAGCTAGGAGCTGGTGTTTCCGCCAGGCCATTGTTGCCTTGACATTTTGGAGTACAGATGCCATCTTGTTCTGGTTCTTAGTCAACCCTATTTCTAAAACAATCAGAATGAGAGCAAGAATTAGACAGAGCAAGGTACAGAGCAGTGTGGAAAAACATAAATGCAAGTAGTTACACAATATGTTCAGTTACATTTGCCTGAAACAACAAAATCAGAGCTGAGCAGACTTTTACTTGGAGGCTTGAAGGAGCATTGATTTCTACAGCTATTTAGGTCTGTGCTTGTCCATGAAGAAGTCTTATACTGCATTTCCAGCACTGGGCGTCTGACCTGGTAAGCTGCGGGACTCAAGCTTGTGAGGTAGAATGCTCTGTAACCGCAAGTTTCTTGTTGGTGTCTCAGACTAAGGTCTCATATCCCAGATTTTTGCCTTCATTAATCAAAACAGCCTTCCACTGCCAGGCAAGTTTACACAGCTGCTATTGTCTCCTGCCCAAGTTGCTAGCTGAAGGCTCACTTAAGTCACAGTTATGATTGTGGATACCCAAGTCCTGAAATGGACAGGATTGTTACTGGCAGAAGATATTGGTGGGAAGGACTAAAATGCCTGTTACCTGTATGATATATGACAGTTTAAACATATGTATATATTTTTATTCATTTTCACTAGCTATCAAGCTAGGATACTGCTAGTGAATTACTTCTAAAAAGCAACTGAAATGCAAATGCATTTTAGCAATCTGAATTGAGAGTGAATTAATTTTACCAATACTTCATTGCAGATTATGAATAAAAAAAGCTGGGAGGTTTCTACCATCATTATACCACATACTAGGAAAGCCTCTTGATACTCCTTACTACCTCTCATCTCCCAGATTGGCTCCATCTCTCACAAGTGCCCTTATTTGTGTCAGAAAGCAGTAAGGCTTACTGAAATCTCTTAATCCTGAAGGTGTTTGGGATGTTAACACCTTTAATGCATTCCTACACGTGGCAACAAGCAGCAGCTAGTAATCGGGCAACCAGTCAGTTCTCTTACTAGCCCACAGCTTGTCCAGCTTCCTTTTGATTAACTGCTAACTACGCTTGATTAATTTATGCTAGAAAATACTACTCGGGTGAAATGCCCAGAAGGGAGTAGCTACCGTCCCAGGGTTACATTCATCTGTTACCAGACTGGCACTGCACAGTACAGCGTGGTGCTCCAGTTCAGCTGGAGCCCGCGGCGAGACCTC